GAAGAACAAAAACGACAGCAACTTGTCTGTTCCCCTTCCCCCAATTCCCCAGCACTGTTCCCATCCCCCCAATTCCCCAATTAAAAAAAAAAACCCAGACATTTATTTCTCACAGTTCTGGAGGGTGGAAGTCTGAGATCAGGGTGCCAGTATAGCTGGGATCTTGGTGAGGTCCTCTTCCTGGTCATGTCCTCACATGAGAAATATCTCAAGTCTCTTCCTCTTTTTAAAAGGGCATTATTCCTATCATGGGGACTCCACCCTCATGCCCTCATCTAACTCTAATCACCTCCCAAAGGCCCTACCTCCAAATACCATCACACTGGGGGTAAGGGTTTCAACATGAATTTTGGGGGGACACAAACATTCAAACAATAGCACTGATTTTATACACACACACACACACACACGTTCTCACAATGAAGTTTTATGAACTCATCCTAGAAAAAGTTCTATGTACCTCATTGCTGAATATCATTACGGTCACCTTTGAAGTCCTCCCCTTGGGAAGCTATGCACACTCACTCCAGCGCCTAGTCCACCCTTCAAAGCAATTTTGGAACTCTTTCTAGACTGGCCATCAGAGCTGTCGTCGTATTACCCTTCATGTCCTGAATGTCATAAAAATGTCTTCCTTTCAATATCTTTATTCCTTTATCTTCGGGTAAAGAAAGAAGTCACTGGGGGCCAGATCAGGTGAGTAGGGAGGGTGTTCCAATACAGTTATTTGTTAACTGGCTAAAAACTCCCTCATGGACGGTGCTGTGTGAGCTGGTGCATTGTCATGATGCAAGAATCATGAATTGTTGGCAAAAATTTCAGGTCGTCTAACTTCTTCATGCAGCCTTTTCAGCACTTTCAAATAATAAACTCAATTAACTGTCTGTCTATTTGGTACAAATTCACAGTGAATAATCCCTTTGATATCAAAAAAGGTTAGCAACACCATTGCAACAAGTTCACGAACTTAATTGTAAGACCGTGTGTGTGTGTGTGTGTGTGTGTGTGTGTGTGTGTGTACACACACTGCCCTCCCAGCTCCAGCCCCATCTTCAGCATCCCCTTGTTCATGGCCTCCTGGCTGCCACCACTGACCTCTCAAATCCACACAACAGCAGGAAGAACCTACCTATTTATAAAATTATTATTTTTTTCAAATGATGTAATTTATTTATTTCTTAAATATTTTTCATTTTAAAATAATCTCTTTTAATTGAGATATAATTGACATATAACATATTAGTTTCAGGAGTACAGCATAATGATTCAATATTTGTATGTATTGCAAGATGATCACCACAATAAGTCTAGTTAACGTCTCTTAACTAAAAATAAAATGGTACTTCTAAATATAAAAATACTTTATAAAAATAAAATTATTTATGAGCAATTTTCACCACACCAAAAAAAAAAATCTAGACCAGGGCTGTCCAGTAGAAATGTAGTGTGAGATATAATTTTCAATATTCTAGTAAAGCCATATTGAAAATATATACAAACAATCCAATTAAAGAATGGGCAGAGGATCTGACAGATGACCATCAGGTACATGAAAAGATGCTCAACAGACACCGCCGGTTAGCTCAGTTGGTTAGAGCACAGTGCTCATAACACCAAGGTTGCAGTTTTGATCCCCACATGGGCCACTGAGCTGTGCCCTCCACAACTAGATTGAAACAACTGCTTGACTTGGAGTTGATGGGTTCTGGTCCTCTATTAAAAATAAAAAAAAGATGCTCAACATCCCTAATCATCAGGGAAATGCAAATCAAAACCACAATAACATATCACCTCATACTTGTTAAAATGGTTTTCATCAAAAAGAAAAGAGATAAGAAGTGTTATCACTTAGCATAATGCCCTCAAGTTCCAGCAATGTTGTTCCAAATGACAAGATTGTCTTCATTTTTTCATTTTATATATATATATATATATATATATATATATATATAAAATGGAATATTATACGAGGTCTGACAATTGAATTCACGAACTTTTTGCAACAATGTCGCTAACCTTTTTGATATCAGAGGAATTATTCATTATGAATTTATACCAACTGGACAAACAGTTAACCAAGTTTACTATTTGGAAGTGCTGAAAAGCTGCATGAGAAAGTTAGATGACCTGAACTTTTCGCCAACAATTCATGGTTCTTGCATCACAACAATGCACCAGCTCACACAGCACTGTCTGTGAGGGAGTTTTTAGCCAGTAAACGAATCACTGTATTGGAACACCCTCCCTACTCATCTGATCTGGCCCCCAATGACTTGTTTCTTTACCCAAAGATAAAGGAAATATTGAAAGGAAAACATTTTGATGACATCAAGGGTTATACGACAGCAGTTCTGATGGCCATTCCAGAAAAAGAGTTCCAAAATTGCTTTGAAGGGTGGACTAAGTGCTTGCGTCGGTGCATAACTTCCTAAGGACAGTACTTGGAAGGTGACCATAGTGATGTTCAGCAATGAGGTATGTAGCACTTTTTCTAGGATGAGTTTACAAACTTCATTGTCAGACCTTGTATATAATACATAATTTTTTTCATATATATATATATATATACATATATATATATATATATATATATATAATTTCTTTATCCATTCATCCATTAATGGATACTTAGGTTGTTTCCATATCTTGGCTACTGTAAATAATGCTGCAGGAAATATGGGGGTGCAGATATCTTTTTGAGATAGTGTTTTTTATTTTCTTCAGGTATATTCCAAGAAGTGGAACTGTAGGTTCATATGGTAGTTCTATTTTTTAAAAGTTTTTAAGGAACCTCTATACTACTTCCCACAGTGGCGAAACCAATTTACCACCAACAGTGGGTGAGGGTTCTTTTTCTCATATCCTCAACACTCATTACAAGGTGTGATCAAAAGATGCTGTGAATATTTAAATGAAAAACACGTATATGGGTCGGCCAAGTGACTCTAGTGGCTCGCTGGTTAAGAA